GATGGGTCCTTGCCCAATCAGGGTTTCCAAACCCAGTCACGTATCCATTCACATCAAATCTTTTACAAGTTAAAAATTTGGAGAGAATCAATAGTGACAAAGAAAATAGATAATTGTCCATGAAAGCTCAGAATTCCAAGCTTGATGGGAAAAAGAAACTCACATATCTTTAATAGCAAAAGTGAGGCCACTTAAGGGCAGTTGATCTGATGAAGAGGTTGGATGAAGAGTAAATTCCTCCATGAAAGCTCCAGAATCCGAGCTTTTAGCCATGGCTGCCATTTCTTCTTCCAGGTTACGAAGAGTTCAGTTTCAGTGTATTTTCTTGAGTGGATAAGTAGTAGTGGAGCATTGGAGTACAATGCTCATCATCATTTCGTCAAATTAAAATGCTCATTTTGATGAAATCACCGTTTTACCTCTTTCTTTTTTGTTATGGACAGTTCGATTATTTAGTTTAGGAAGGATAATGATGACATCCCATGATTGGATTTGTGCAATCCTCCTGTCTATTCCTATTTTAACTGGCTTTTACGTGTTTTTTCTTTTACTGACTAATTTGTACACAGCTCCATCGTGGACTCCTCTTGTCCAATTAATTCTCACTCGACTCGACAGCTCCGTCCTTGCCTGCATGAAACCGAAGCTAGCGCTTGCAGGTGAATTTGATAAGATAAGATGCTTGTTTTTCCCTCGAAAAGACGGAAAAAGTGCCTTTCCCAACTCGCTCTATCAGTCTTGTAAACGCACTAACAATAGCAGTAACCAGTACAAGGGATTCCAGCCCCGTTATGAAAAATTATCGGGAAATGAGTGGTGAGTGGAGCCTCGGAGGAGTTCAGAAGGATAATGATAGATATTAAAAAAACAAAAAAAACGTTTTTCTAAATTGAGTGGAATAAATATTATATTTTTATAATAAATTTGTAATAAAAAATAAATTTAATCTTTATGTAGTTTATTAATTATTTAATTAAATTTATTTACATATCAAAATAAATGTCAAATTTTATATTTTTTATATATTTATGATAAATATATTTTTAAAGATATGTGTTAAAAAAATTAAGAACAAAGAAAAAGGGTTAAAGAAAATCAAAACATCATAAAAATTA